AATATCTAGAGTTTACGGAAAGACAAACAAAAACCAGGACAGGGGAGAACACCCGTGATGTACGCAAAGTAAAACCAAAATTGTGGGCAAACACTGAAAATCCCGAAAGGTGTCCTGTTTATGTTTACAAATGCTATGCAGATATGAGACCTACGACTTACTGTAAAGGATCAGATCCATTTTATATAGCTACTACAACAAAAAGCTCACCTGGAAGTCATGAGACTTGGTTCAAGCGCCAACCCGTTGGTATCAACAAGCTAAAATCCATGATGCAACGTGCCATAAAGGGAGCAGGAATCCAAACTGACAAACACTTGTCAAATCACAGTGCGAGGAAATATCTTGTCCAGAAATTGAACGATAATAACATCCCCGCTAACCATATAATGCAAATTTCTGGTCACCGAAACATTTCTTCTATTAATAATTATTCACACATCAACACGAATCAACACAAAGAAATCTCCAAAATACTGCACGGAAATCCAACAGCACCTGAGACCGGATGCAACACAACATCACTGACACAACAATCAATGGCGTGTAACCAGTCAACTTCCTCTGTTGTCAGGGTCCAGGGCGGTTTCCAAAGTATCTTTTCAGGTGCTGTCACAGGAGGAAACATACAAGTTCATGTTTACCAAGGACCTCCTCTGAAAAAACGCGCCCGTGTTATAGAAAGTGACAGTGATTCTCAGTAGGCCTAATATCCAACACATGTGTTTTCGGTTTCCGACGACCTTCACAGTGCGCGCGCTCTTACACTGTTCATGACGTCACCGATGAAAAAACCCAGTTTTTTTCCGAAGCGAAAAAAAAGAAGTCATATTTTGTAAACTTTTATTATTTCAATTGTTATCACAATTAAAATGATCGTTAAAAGTAAAACTGTTGGCCATTTATTATTCTGATAAAATTCTGCGGACTACTTTTGTTAGCGGAACATGCTCTCAAATCATTATATGTGATGCGTCCTTTCTCGTCGTCATTGCATATAGAGACGTTAGTATTGAAACCACTTATGTAGGTAGGTTTCTCGAATTATATAATAAATAGAATCTAACACTCGTGTTCATGTTATATTGAATTTATTGTTATATATTGTATTGTGTTGTGATGTTATATATTGTATTGTGTTGTAATGTTATATAATGTATTGTGTTGTATTGTTATATATTGTATTGTGTATTTATATAGTGTTGTAATGTAATATATTGTATTGTGTTTTTTAGTGTTGTACTGTTATATATTGTGGTGAATAGTATTTTGTTGTATTTTATTGATTGTGTTGTGTAGTATTATGATATATTGTATTGTACCGTGTTTTGTAGTATTTTATTGTATTGTATGTATTGTATGGTGCTGTGTTGTATAGTAATGTTATGGTATTTATTGTGTTGTAAAGTATTGTGTTAAATTGTTTTGTGAAGTGTTGTAATGTAATACAATGCATTAATTATATCCTATTGTATCGTATGGTGTTGTGTGGTATTGTATAATGTTGTAATGTAATATATTGTATTGTGTTGTATTGTATTATATTGTATTGTGAAATGTTGTAATGCTATACAATGTTATGTAACCTATTGTATTGATTGTGTTGTTTTGTATAGTATAGTGTTATATTATATTGTATTTATTGTGTTGTATAGTATTGTGTTGTGTGTGGTTGTGTTGTAGTGTTGTTATGTAATATATTGTATTGTATAGTATTGTATAATATTGTAATGTACTACAATGTAATGTAGTGTATCCTATTGTATCGAATGGTGTTGTGAAGTGTTGTAATTTTATATATTGTATTGTAAAATATTGTAATATATTGTATTGTGTAATGTTGTAATGTAATACAACGTAATGTATTTATCGTATTGTATTGTGTTGTGTTGTATTGTATTGTATTTAAATTTGAAAACTAGCTGCAACATTCATGCTACTAGATGACCCCCTCCCCCTCAACACACACAGACTCACACACGAACCTCCCTACCTCAACCCCGGGATGATAAGTATTTACATATTGACAGCTTATACTTCTTGCACTGATTTGTTACCGATGTACTGTGTTAAACATGTAACATGAGGGCCCTTGAATCCGTACATGTGTTGCAATATTTATTCTGTTTAATGAAAATATCGATAAATCATTTGTTGTTCCTCAACATACGTGTATGAAATACTAGAACAGTTTCATAAAACATATTTTCATATACTTCGTTTTTCAAATATCATTTCGGCTATGTCGTACATGTATGTAAGTGATTCAAATTGATTCAAATTGATCGAAAACCGATTGAAAATATTTGTAAATCCTTAACATATCAACTTTCTGGGAGGAGGGGTAGGGGGTCAACACTTTTTAAAATTTAATTTCTAACTTGTGCAGCTAACCTCGCTTAGCACACCCCAGGGGATTTACACTTGCACGTATTTCGTATCAATAAATGTATTTATTATAGTCACGGTATACCGTAATGTATGTAGTGCAGGTAGTACAGGTGTACTAGTGTCCGGATATGAGGCCAAGGTGACACAGGTAGCCGTGTGAGGCGGGACGGGTAACGCGTGTTACAGGTGCGACACTCTATAGAGTAATATATGTAGTTTGAGTGTTACATAGTCATTCGAGTCTTGACGGTTCAATGATTTCATTTCAGGGAAGATTCCGTAATGGGAATTCCTAGCGTCTGCCAGGATCCGGATTCAGGACGAAGCGAAGAGAGAAAGGAAGAAGGATGGGGCACGTGCCCTTTGTATTTCATGTACTTGTTCCTTTAGTAAAATGGTTGACCGTCCAAGGCAACTACCATACATGGGTGTTGAGTTTTATATGATAAATGCTTTTTGTTCGGTTGAACGTAGTGAATTAGAATCACAAATTAATATTTATCAAATGTTCCAAAAGATATTCAATGTCTTTTATATTGTAGTTTTCAGCTAAACTCAAATTGAATTTATTTACCACTTTTAGTTTAAACATCATATTGGTTCATTGTTGCTTTCTTCTTGTTGGTAAATATTGTTTTCTTCAAAAGGACCAATCGTCAACCAAATAGTGCAAAACAGACGGTATTCACACATTGCGGAACCTCATGTATTAATACATACTTGAGATTTTGTTGTCTAACCCATTTACACAAAATAAATGTAAAACTATCGTTAAATTATGTTACATAATGTCGCTGTCTTCATTTAACAGTATCGTAGCTCGAAGGGAAGAACTTTCAGTTTTTTGTATTTTTAAGTTTACGGAAACGCTTGCTTATTAAACAACTAGAATTGATTAATACCTAAAATGGATTGAATTACACCGATTTGAAATGGGTAGTATTATAATTGGGCATGCCGCCCCGGCCGCCCGGGTTTTACCTGGGACAGTACCCCCTGTCCTCCTAGCCAAATATGAATTTGATTGTGTAAAGATTACTTATTTGCAGAAATTAAGAAATTATATTAAAAATTGATTGAATTACATCGATTTAAAGTGGGTAGTATTATAATTGCTTATTTGGGTCGAGCCCGGCACGGTAGCCGTTACTTTGTTTATGCCGCCCTGGCCGCCCGGGGTTTCACCTGGGACAGTACCCCCTGTCCCCCTAGCCAAACATGAATTGATTGTGTAAAGATTACTAAGTTGAAGAAATTATGAAATTATGTTGATTTTTTTTTTATGTTTTTAAGCCCTGGAGGTCCCGATATTAAATAACACGCGCGATTTGAGCTTGATATGATAGCGTATAGTTGAGAAATAGCTAATTTTAAAACATCATAACTCTGCCAATAAACGTGTTCTCACAATTGTTCATAATTTGGTCAATAAACAACTGAAGAGTTTTAGTTGAGCTAATGATACTGATGAAGGCCCGGGCACATCCGGTGTTAGAAAATGGTTTTAGCAGTACTGTATGTTTGATAAGTACCTAATTTCAAAACAACAAAACTATGCAAATGTTTAACATGTTCTCACAATGTTTCAGAATTGGGTTAATTTCATACATACTTTAACAACTGAATAGTTTTAGTTTAGCTAATGATACTGGTTAAGGCCCGGGCGACCCCGTTATTACAAATAACACGCGTGGTTTTCAGCAGTACTGTACGGTTGAGAAGTAACAAATTTCAAAACAACATGACTATGCCAATAATTAACACATTCTCCTATATTTCACTAGTGTTATATATATACATCAACAACTACACGATCTAATAGTTTTAGTTTGGCTTACAATAACGATGAAAATCCGGTCGACCCCGATATTACAAATAACAGGCGTGATTTCAGCTAATGTATAGCGTATGGTTCAGGATTATGTACAATAATTGACATATTCTAACATTTAGCATTGTGTTATTTACACTCACATCTTAACAAATAAATAGTTTTAATTGACCAAGCGATAAAGATGAAGGCCCGGGTGGTCCCGATGCTGCAAATAACACGCGTGATATAAGCGTCAGCGTAATGTAGCGAAGTATCTAAAGTTACGTCAGCATAAATCTGTTTATAATGAAGACATATTCACACCATCTTTTATGTTTTATTTCTTATTCATTCATTAACCCGAGTTATATACTTAAACTAAATTAACTTTACAGAATAATGCCCGGGCAGTCATGATATTGTAAATAACAAGTCCTGTAATACTGGTTAACTTCAAATTACAATAATGTGGCTAATTATGAACAAATTTGATATTTCTTCTGTTTTGAATTTTTCGTTCCTAAAGCTATCAGAATAACTTGTTTTAGTCCAGTTAACTACACAGGTGAAAGCCCGGCCGGTGTTTGTATCGCAAATAACAAACGTTAGGCCTTCTCCATGTTACGAATTTTCACCATTTCTTGATCATTGCATTCATGTTGTTACAAACAATGCAAAAATATACAGTTGTAATTGTGTATAAGTGGAGACAAACGCCCGGACGGTCTACATATCACTACCGGGCTGTACCGGGCTGTGCCGGGCTCTATCGAGCTGTAATTAATATCACCGCTCTATACACTTCCTGTTTTGGAGTGTAAACAAGTGTCCTGTCGATAGAAGTCCAGTCTATCCTTTCCGTGTCGATATTGCAAGTTCACAAGGTGAGTGTAAGGAACTAAGGTGGTTGTGTTGCGTACACATCTGTGAATTACACAAAACATGTTTGGTTATATCTGTATATTACAGATTTATATGTACTACACTGTCGACAAACCTTCGCTGTACTAGATATATACAAACCGAAAGTTGGTATAACTTCTGTAATGTATAACATGTTTAAACGCGACTATATCTTTGTGTTGGTAGTGTTGGTAGGTTAATATCGTGAAGTACATGTACAGCATGCTGTGATTGTCAATCGTGATCCGCCCCTTCCAATTATCCCCGGGTACAATCGGTCAGACGATTTACAGGGACAGGCAGAAACGGACAGAAAAATATATATATTAGATAATACAATCAAGCCATTTTTCAGGCGATTAGTACAGATAATTGCCTCCTCTTGATCAGTGCTACTTTTAACGGACTTCATCACTAAGAATCAAATTTAAATCAATAAGTTAGTGTTATGCTGATTGAAATTTGTCATGGTCATTTAAATCACACACATGGACGTGTGTGCCGATACATGTAAATGTATATATATAATTCATCGACATACTAGATTGTCAGAGACAATCGACAGGAAATCCTAACTGTATCGTTGTAATGATAGACCATAGGAGAAGTCGGGCGGAGACATTGATTAAAGGGGAAGGGGGGGGGGGGGTTAGAGGGGGTTCCTTCGCATGGAATTTTTTCATATCATGTAATAAATGTGTAACGAAACGTACAAACAACAACATGATCATCTTAATTTACAAATCTGTTTCTTTCTAAGTCGGGAGGGGAAATAGTACCACGATGTCGGGTAGGGAAATAGTACCACGATGGCGGGGAGTGAAATAGTACCACGATGTCGGGTGGTGAAATAGTACCACGATGTCGGGTAGTGAAATAGTACCACGATGTCGGGTGTTTAAATAGTACCACGACATTACATGAACAATACCTAAACATATGCTGCTTTGCAAAAAAAATATGCACGATCCTCTAAAGAAAGCCTAGTCCCCAAACAAAAAACGTAACTTGTCCTCACATAACAAAGTGACCCGATCTACAAACGATATTGTCCGGTCCTCCCACAAAATAGTATACACCCTTCCACGAATAAAGTGTCCCGCGCATAAATTAGTGTCTTGTCCTCACAGACAAAATTGTGTCTACTTTCCCCATAGAAAGTGTCCTATTCCGTCAAAAAGTATTTGTATTGCTATATTTATATTCTGGTATTATAAAACAAAAGAAAAAAATATCAATTACATTTACAGCTTCACAACACACAACAGAGCACACATCATTTTAAAATAAAAATCTAAGAATAACACCCCATTCCCCTTCCCGTGGGGACCCTCTCTCTATCCACTAAATTAGTACACACTAGTAGGATTTATCTATTGATGTTAACGGAGGTCGTCTTTTCAGAGTAGGTCATAGACAGGGTTCAAAGTTCAAAGTTAAAACATGTATCATGCATAGGCAATTTTCGTCTCTAAATTTAATAAACAAGTGTGCACTGTAAAAATGTTTAGCTGAAATCTCACAATGCACAAAACTGTAATGTTATTTCTTGAATATATTTTCGAACTACGACAGTGTTAATGACCTTAGGAAACAGAAAGAATATTTTATTTTAAAAACTCATTATATGACGGAAATGGGAGATTCAAAAGCGTTAATCATATAAAAGTAGAAAGGATTTGTTTAGCTCACTTGCCCGAAGGGCTCAGCGTCCGGCGTCAATCTGTCAACTTTTTAGCTCACCTGGTCCAAAGGACCGGTGAGCTTATGCCATGGCGCGGCGTCCGTCGTCCGTTTACTTTTCCTAACAATCGCTACTTGTTATGAACGACTAAGCAGATTTTGATCAAATTTGGTCAGAAGCATCCTTGGGGAAAAAGAAACAATGTTTGTATAAACCGTGGGTCTGGCCCTCATGGGGGCTGAGGGACGGGGTCCAATAGGGGAAATATAGGGGAAATATTACAAATTTTTTAAAATCCTTCTTCTTCTGTAGGAATGATAGGATTTGTTGTATATTTGGGCAGAAGCATATTTGGGAGAAGGGAAACAAATTTTATATAAATTGTGGGTTTGGCCCCCTTGGAGTTGAAGGGCGGGGCCCAATAGACGAAATATAGCAAATTCTTTAAAATCCTTCTTTTTCTGTAGGAATGAAAGGATGTGTTCCATATTTGGTCTGATGCATCCTTGTGTGAAGGGGAACCAATTTTGTATAACCCGTGTGTCTGGTCCCCCAGGGGCACGAGAGTCGGGGCCCAATAGGGGAAATAAAGCAAATACTTTATAATCCTTCTTCTTCTGTAGGAATAAAAGTATTTGTTCCATATTTGGTCTGAAGCATTTTTGGCGGAAGGGATACCAATTTTGTATAAACTGTGGGTCTGGTCTCCCAGGGGCCTGAGGGCTGGGTCCAATAGGGAAAATATAACAAGTTCTTTAATATTATCCTTCTTTCTTCTACTATAGGAGAGTATGTTGTACAGATTTAGCCTGATGGATTCTTTGTGTAATTTTGTATAAATGGTGGGGATAGCCTTCTTAGGGCCTTGGGTTGGGGCACAATAGGGGATTTTTTTCTTTTTTCTCCAAAATTTTCTTTTAATATAGGAATAACAAGTTTTGTCCATATGTGGTCTGAAGCATCCTTGATGAAGGGGTACTCTTGTTTGGTGAATTTTTGGGGTAAAAAACTTTAATTTTGAGAAATTAATATAATATCTTTATTGCTTCTCCGATTAAGGTACAAATCAGTTGAGTCAAATTGGAACATTTTCTCACTTTTCAAGAAGAGTGATTTTTGGGGGTAAAAATGTCATATTTAGGCGCATTTTAAGAATTAGTGATTAGGTGAATCAATATTTAAACATGTCTATAATATATAGAGGGTACATCCATACTATCACTTTATTACAATGGATGTTTATTGGGCTGTTTGGGTAAAAATCCAAAATTCAGTCTGCTGAAAACTTACTATTCTGACAAAGCAGCACAGCGGAAACACATAATTATGATTAATTCTTGTTTCTTCTTTTTTATCTTCTTTTTTCCCCAAAAAGCTTCGTTCTAACTAAATTTCTTGTTATCAATGTTAAGTGTTGTCATCCTGAAATAAAATCGTGCTTATTGATTAGCATTTTTAGTAGGGCTGTAACGATACACCTATGCCACGATACGATACGTATCACGATATCTACCCACGATACGATACATTTTGATACGATACAGGATGCCGAAATGTTATGCTTCCTCTTCAAATGCGTCGCCATGTTTGATGTGTTCCCTGACTTGTAACTTAAATCTACGAAACATATGCGGAAAGTGGATAGGTATTTTCCATCGGGGACATTTAGCCGGAATCCAAAATGCTGCCAAAAAGGCGAGCGAAAGGATGCGGGAGGGTTTTTTAATTGAATTCTTTTTAACTAAATCTAGTTTCGAGCATCCTTGGGCCAATGTGACTCACCTTTGTATCAATGGTGGGTTTGACCTCCCTGAGGGCAGAGGAGTGGGGCCCAAAAGGAGAAATAGATGTAAAACTTTTTAAATCTTTCTTCTATCGTAGGGATAAAGGTATTTTATCTTAATTTAGTCTGAAGCATCCTTCGGCCAAGGGGACTCGCATAGGGATAAATGTATTTTATCCTAACTAAGTCTAAAGCATCCTTGGCCCAAGAACACTCAATTTTGTAAAACAAAATCTGGCTATGGCCTCCCTGGGGGCAAAGAAGTGGCCCAAATAATAGAAATAGATATAAACATTCTTCTAGCGTAGGGATAAATGTATTTTATCCTAACTTAGTCTGAAGCATCGTTGGGCCAAGGGGACTCAATTTTGTATAAACGGTGGTTGTGGCCTCCCTTGTGGCAGAGGAGTGGGGCCCAATAGCAGAAATAGGGGTAAAACTCTTAAAACCATTCTTCTAACATAGGGCTAAATGTATTTTTTCCTCAATTAGTCTGAAGAATCCTTGTGCCAAGGGGTTCAATTTTGTATACACGGTGGATGTGCCCCCCTGATTGCAGAGGGGTTGGGCCGAAAAAAGGGAAAATAGGGGTAAAACGTCTAATCTCCTTCTTCTAGCGTAGGCATAAAGGTTTTTTTTTTTAATTTGGTCAGGAACATGCTTAGAACCAAGGGGACTCGATTTTGTATAAACAAGTTGTCTAGTTGTGCCTGTTACTATATGGTGTATTCATTAAAACAAGATGGCCACCAGGCCACCATCTTGAATTATTACATTTGAAGTTTGTTCTCGCTATATTTCCAGAAATACTGGATGGACCTTTCTGAAATTTGTACATACAGTACCTACCATGGAGTGTTAAATATTGACCTCAAATCAGGTATTTTAAACATATCCTGGTGAGCGATATACAGACACTCTAGGTCTCTTGTTTGAGACTCAAAACTTACATGAAAATAAAACTATAAATTAAATGTGTGTAGGTCTAACAACTAATGTTTTAATATAAGATTTAAACCTATAGGGTGCTGTACAATGATCCAGCTATAAGTATGTGAACTGTTTTATAGTATATTTGTGTGAAATCCTTAAAACTATTATCGTACATCTTTCCTTTTCAGGCCGGTATTAATCTGCCCTAGCTATTACTATGGCTGAAGGCGGCCCTCCTCCAGAACTGGACGTACACTTACTGGAGTGTCCAATATGTCTGGAGCGACTTCGACAACCCAAATCCTTAACCTGCCTCCACTGCTTCTGTCAGGAATGCCTCGGGACCTACATCACCATGGAGCTGTCTGGAAAAATGGCGTCGGCAACATCGTTCCCTTGTCCTGTCTGTAGGAGAATGGCCCAGCCCGCCAATCAAACGGAGCCTAAGGACAAATGGGCAGAACAGTTCCCGACTAATGCTGTGATCCAGGACCTTATCAAGCTTAAGGAACATTCGTCTGAACCACTGTACTGCAAACCCTGTCAGACAAGAGGTGACCTGACAAATCCAGCGAAATTCTGGTGTAAGACGATGGACGTGAAATTCTGTGAGAAATGTAAGGCAACATACCATGATGTTTTACATACTGAATGTGATGTCTTGGATATTACCGGGTACGATGCAAGACGAACAAAAAAGGAAATGTCAGTCCCTGAATGTGACCAACATGACGAGAAATTGATTTGGTATTGTGAAGATCACAAACGTCTCGGATGCAACATATGCATGATTAAATACCACAGGCGTTGTGATGAGGTGACAACGGCGATGGAATATTTACAGAAGATAAAAGCCGGTTCACAACTAGAAGAGATGGAGATGGCACTGAAGAAAGGAGCACAGGCTATGACGTCATTGGTAAAGGGTTTTGACGAGCAGATCCAAACCATGGTCCAAAATCAGGAAATCGCGCTGCAAAGCATCAAAGATCTGCGCCAAAGTGTCGAAGAGCAGCTGAACAAACTTCAGAAAGACGTCACTGATAAATTAATTACATTGTTTAAAGAGGAGAAGGGGAATTTGGAGGCTTCGTCACGACAGTGTGAACGTCTGATGAACAGTATGGTTAATACCATGAAGTCGTCCGTTACCGCCGCAGAGGAAAACGACACTATTGAGGCGATAGTTTTGTATCAGAGAGGACAGGCAGAAGTGGAGTCGTGTAAGGCCCTGGTCAAGGAAATAAGCAAGTCCTTCACCTCCATTAGCATTAACCATCGTATTGTTCCCAGACTGGTAACCCTTGGCGATGAAGCGATGGGGAAGATCGTAATCGATAGACAACGCCGATGTTTTCCTGTTGATCTTGAATACCTGTGCGTACCTTTGTCAGAGCGTCATGTGAAAGAAATAGGGAAGTTTAACGTAAAGACTCCGTCTGATAAAGAAAGATGTTGGATAAGTGGAGTTGTGTTCCTTCCACATGAACAGATAATACTTAGTGATTACAACAACAAGAAGCTGAAGCTTTTTACAGACAAAGGACAGTACCTGGACGAGTTGACCATTCGTGGAAATCCCAGTGATCTTTGTCTGGTGAACAACAACACCGTAGCGATCGCTGTCAGTAATCCTGGTGGTGTCCGTGTCGTGAGAGTCGAGGACTCAGAACTCTCCCTGTCGTCCGAGATTATCATGCCCCATGACGCGTGCTGTCTTGGTATATCACGAAGAGACGGGAGGTTTATCGTGGGTACACGTGGAGGAGAGGTATATAGTGTGACACAGGACGGAGCGACTGAGTTGTTACATAAGTATAACATTAACTGTTATTGCCTCACACAATATCCATTAAAGGGAGACACACTCGTCAGTGTCAGTAACAACGCCACGGGGGACGTCGCGGTGTCCAGACTGTCGGCTGACAAACGTCACACGGATGTGATGAAGGTCGATGTCGTGAGGGGTGCTAGGGGAATAGACGTGGACAGGGAGGGTAACATATACGTGTGTGGTATGGAATCACACAACGTCGTACAGATGTCTGGGGACGGGACACACGTCAGGGAACTGCTGACGTCATCAGAGGGAATGGACTCTCCCCGGGCAATAGCTGTTCGTGGTGACACGTTTCTAGTCACCTCTTGTGGTTCTACAAACCACAATAATTTTCTCCGAGTCTTTCAACTCCACTAAACATTGTACAGATAAACACACGGATGGGTTGATCACGTGATGTGTATATATATAGTTATAGTCACATAATCAATACAAACACTGAAGCATTGCAAAGTCACTAGGGTGGTGTACGATTTAATTTTGGAATTGTTTATATTCCGGATATTCAATATTACATGACGTAAATAAGACAGTATAGAGGTGGATGTTTAATCTTAATATATAATATCTATCCTATAATAAGAAACAAATGTCAAAAAATCTCAAATGGATATTATGTTATTCTAAGTTTGAAACTATTCAAACTGAACCATCTGTATCCGGTTGCAATTCTCCCAGATGTGGAACATGCAAACTGATCATTCAGTGTTGTACTTTTATTTTATAAAATGGTTTCAAATTCACTAAACGTGAAAACATAAACTGTATATCTAGAAATGTCAATGATGCTATTGTGATACATGTTCTGAGTTTTGTATTGGTCAAACTGGACGTGAATTACGCCAGAGAATGGCACTACACCGACAACAAACTGTATATGATGATTTAAGATTTTTACATGTTTACAAACATATCACTAATTGTGCTAACAATAAATTCAAAGTTATCCCTATATACCAAATGTATTCTGATATTAAAGAAAGGAAAACCAAAGAATCGGAGTTGATTAAATTATTAAAACCTGGTCTGAATAGTTCATAATAAATGCATTTTTACAAAAAAAGTTCGTGAAAGAGGGATTAATAGAATCTCTCACCCCCTTGGTAGATAGGGGAATCTCAACCCGAGGCGCGAAATTCTTAAGTTGTCAAACAAGGCTTTGTCGAGTGTTTAGCAACAAAAGATTATTTCCCCGAAGGTTGAGATTCCCCAATATCACCATCAAAAGGGTTAATGATTCTTTTTCTCTTAACCTGTTCACCAGTTGTGTATCATTACGTAATGTTAACGTAACAGGCTAAACTCAGGGTTGACGTGACGTTGATGGGTTGTTGACGTGACGTCATACCATTGTTACGTATAGGAGAATTCCCCGTCTCAACCCTATCGTAGACAAGGATTTATCACACCTGTAAAAGTGTGGATAAACCTGTCCAGAGTAAGAGACAAGTTATTTCCCGTACTTTGTGTTGTTTGTGAGTTCATAATATTGATAACATCATCATTTCATGTAAATAAACAGTCTACTGAAGAACCTCATAAGAGGCGAGAAGCTTAGAGACGGTACCACTGGTTTTGAAAAAAATAAAAGAAGACAGATTATCAGGGTCTTTCGCTGCTGTACAGCTCTTCAGGAGAATCCGCCTCCTTGTATTTATATATATATACATTTTGTATATCGACATATAGAAAAAATGAGATCTAACGACCGACTAAAAAACAAACTTCTTTCACCCTTCACAGGGCTCTTCTCATCCAGTGCATAGCAATCGGCGATAAATCATTTAGGTGGGGCAATTATAGTCTAAAATACTTCAAACCAGGAACAAACAACTTATATCAAATAAAATGGAAAACAATGAGGATTTGTTGCTGATGTGCTGAGTGAGTGGTTGTGACGTTTGTATCTGATCTCCAGGTCATGTGGAAGCAGTCTCGTGTGGTAAACATGGGAAACTTGGCGACCAAGGGAGATAACCAAGTATTTGGACAAACATTATTTTGGTCCGGGGGTCAGATTTCTCTCTATATATGTATATGAGAATGCTCTTCCTAACAGCTACATTGAACCTAAGTTCAGATGTCAAAACAATTATTTATAGAGAGCAATCATACAATAATAAGATCTTGCATGTTTTTAGTATGCATATCCTGTTTGTAATTTCCTGTATGGGTTTTTTCTGAACTCGAGTTTTCTTCCAGAGATGTGAGGATGGGAATTTCAGTCGGTGAATTAAGGTTTACCATATGTAATAAAATCGGGAAACATCAATCAACATCGGGACACTTCGTAATCTGAGAATTCCCCCTAATCGTGACGTCATTTTCGGTATAAGTTGCCGCCCGTTGGGAAACCCCGATTATAAGCAAATGGCGACTGTTCGTTTCTCGCGCGGCAGTTTTAGGAAAATATCGTCAAAATTATACACTGTCAAGGGATTTAAAGTGTTTGAAATTATTATTACAGCGGTGGAAATGTGTGTTAAAGGCAAAGGAATTTGTGAAAATAGAGATTATCCTCTCTTTAACAACCTGAAGCTAGGTAGACATGCAGAACGTTTTGGGCGAATAGATCGTTGTCAGGTCGTTTCATCCTAAATCCCGTTCGTCCTGGGTCGTTCCGCACTAAGTTGTTTCGCCTTAAAAATGTGCTTAGGTTGAAATATTTTGTCCTGTTTAGTTATGCATGGTTAATTTAATATAATTTGAAGTGTTTCTATGTCTCCCCTTTTTTTTGCAATAAAACTTGTACGTGTTTTAAGAAAATCGACAAAACACACGCGGGCTACAATATCATTATTTTTCGAAATGTACATAGTAAGAGATTGATGTATTCATATTTTTGTATTGTCAGATGATGTGTCAATGCAAACATTGAGCTTTGAGCACATTACTTTTAATATTATGTGATGTCAAGACAACTTACTGTGACACTTCAACTGTCGAAAATGGACAAAATTAGTCAAACCTGAGGGGGGGGGGGGGGGGGGGGGGGGGGGGGTCGAAGCTATACATTTTTTTTTTGCAACATTCAGACGGTAAATTTTGATTTATTACGTTTTTTGCATTGCAAAGAGATTTTACAAGAAAATAAATAAATTTGGTTTTCCACCTACATGTATCACCATCTGATATAATTTGTTGTAAAAAAAAGTTCCAACATTTATCATGAAAAATAGCGTAGAACATTTTGAATTTCACGGCATTATTGAATATAAATAAATGCAATTTTTATTATTTTTTTTGTTTTTCTGGAAAGAGTTATTTTTTCATATTTCTAATCTACAATGTTTGGCCAATTTGTCGGTATATAAAAGTAAATCGTTTGCAAAAAAGTGAATAAAATCATAACTGTCTGCATATAAAAAAGTTTTTGTCATTTTATTGAACTTTTATTGAACCCAATGGGATGTACTTATAAAATGCATCAAAATTGGAAAAATATGCGGAAAAAGTTCATCACAATTTGGGAAATACTTCACAATCGTGTGTGAAAAAATAAAAACATATATTTTTTTACTTCCAAAAAAAGTGTATATTATACATGGAATACCTTAACGATGAGAATGGATCTGACTACAGTCTCCCTTTCTTGTTTATCCTATGGATAGTTGTGTTAGTTTGATCTGACTACAGTCTCCCTTTCTTGTTTATTCTATGGATAGTTGTGTAAGTTTGATCTGACTACAGTCTCCCTTTCTTGTTTATCCTATGGATAGTTGTGTTAGTTTGATCTGACTACAGTCTCCCTTTCTTGTTTATCCTATGGATAGTTGTGTTAGTTTGATCTGACTACAGTCTCCCTTTCTTGTTTATCCTATGGATAGTTGTGTTAGTTTGATCTGACTACAGTCTCCCTTTCTTGTTTATCCTATGGATAGTTGTGTTAGTTTGATCTGACTACAGTCTCCCTTTCTTGTTTATCCTATGGATAGTTGTGTTAGTTTGATCTGACTACAGTCTCCCTTTCTTGTTTATCCTATGGATAGTTGTGTTAGTTTGATCTGACTACAGTCTCCCTTTCTTGTTTATCCTATGGATAGTTGTGTTAGTTTGATCTGACTACAGTCTCCCTTTCTTGTTTATCCTATGGATAGTTGTGTTAGTTTGATCTGACTACAGTCTCCCTTTCTTGTTTATCCTATGGATAGTTGTGTTAGTTTGATCTGACTACAGTCTCCCTTTCTTGTTTATCCTATGGATAGTTGTGTTAGTTTGATCTGACTACAGTCTCCCTTTCTTGTTTATCCTATGGATAGTTGTGTTAGTTTGATCTGACTACAGTCTCCCTTTCTTGTTTATCCTATGGATAGTTGTGTTAGTTTGATCTGACTACAGTCTCCCTTTCTTGTTTATCCTATGGATAGTTGTGTTAGTTTGATCTGACTACAGTCTCCCTTTCTTGTTTATCCTATGGATAGTTGTGTTAGTTTGATCTGACTACAGTCTCCCTTTCTTGTTTATCCTATGGATAGTTGTGTTAGTTTGATCTGACTACAGTCTCCCTTTCTTGTTTATCCTATGGATAGTTGTGTTAGTTTGATCTGACTACAGTCTCCCTTTCTTGTTTATCCTATGGATAGTTGTGTTAGTTTGATCTGACTACAGTCTCCCTTTCTTGTTTATCCTATGGATAGTTGTGTTAGTTTGATCTGACTACAGTCTCCCTTTCTTGTTTATCCTATGGATAGTTGTGTTAGTTTGATCTGACTACAGTCTCCCTTTCTTGTTTATCCTATGGATAGTTGTGTTAGTTTGATCTGACTACAGTCTCCCTTTCTTGTTTATCCTATGGATAGTTGTGTTAGTTTGATCTGACTACAGTCTCCCTTTCTTGTTTATCCTATGGATAGTTGTGTTAGTTTGATCTGACTACAGTCTCCCTTTCTTGTTTATCCTATGGATAGTTGTGTTAGTTTGATCTGACTACAGTCTCCCTTTCTTGTTTATCCTATGGATAGTTGTGTTAGTTTGATCTGACTACAGTCTCCCTTTCTTGTTTATCCTATGGATAGTTGTGTTAGTTTGATCTGACTACAGTCTCCCTTTCTTGTTTATCCTATGGATAGTTGTGTTAGTTTGATCTGACTACAGTCTCCCTTTCTTGTTTATCCTATGGATAGTTGTGTTAGTTTGATCTGACTACAGTCTCCCTTTCTTGTTTATCCTATGGATAGTTGTGTTAGTTTGATCTGACTACAGTCTCCCTTTCTTGTTTATCCTATGGATAGTTGTGTTAGTTTGATCTGACTACAGTCTCCCTTTCTTGTTTATCCTATGGATAGTTGTGTTAGTTTGATCTGACTACAGTCTCCCTTTCTTGTTTATCCTATGGATAGTTGTGTTAGTTTGATCTGACTACAGTCTCCCTTTCTTGTTTATCCTATGGATAGTTGTGTTAGTTTGATCTGACTACAGTCTCCCTTTCTTGTTTATCCTAGGGATAGTTGTGTTAGTTTGATCTGACTACAGTATCCCTTTCTTGTTTATCCTAGGGATAGTTGTGTTAGTTTGATCTGACTACAGTCTCCCTTGTTTATCCTGGGATAGTTGTGTTAGTTTGATCTGACCACAGTCTCCCTTGTTTATCCTATGGAATAGTTGTGTTAGTTTGACTGAGGATGCAATGGTGACTGTGCCCCGGATGTATGACAGGATTATTCTTATTGGTTGGTTGTTAACACCTATATCAGTGTGATAGTGACCACTAGGTGGGGCTATTTTGCCTTGGTCAGCAAACAGCCTTATCTTCTTTGTCAGAACAAACACATCGTTAGGTTGGTAAAAGTGTCTGCTGTAGGTGAGCATCTCAATTATCAACAAAGTGCTGCCGTTATCATAAACATATGTAAAACCACCGTCTGTCTCACACGATACGAGTGTATTGTGAGATGATGCAACCTCGTTTTGTTTTGTTTCGGGGTCGGGGGGGGGGGGGGGGGGTGCAGCACAGCCGGTTAGTACTGGCATAGTTTGTAAAATGTCCCAAGACTTCTCACAGGGTGTATTTGAATGAATTGTTTTGTTGAACATATGTTAC